AGCAACTGGCATACGGTTTAATGTGAAGTCAACAACAACAACAACAGTCTACAGCATAGGCCCACATTCGATTCCTCCTGTTATACCCCTAAACTAGTCTCGTAGTGCTTGGAAGTTCTTCGTATGCATGCAAAGTATGAAACTGTGTGCATGCCAACTCTTATGGTAGTCCGGAGTACGCAATGTGCGGCCTATTTACGACGCACAGGGAAATCGCAGCTCAAAAAGTACTTGAAAAAATCTCACAAAAAGATATATTTTAGAAGAAACGAACACGCCTGCTGATTGGACGATGATTGACGGTGCCTGACTTGCACACATGGAGAAACCAGCGCCCGGAGCGTCCCCACCTGAGCCGTCTCTGGTCTATAAGCCCTATCAAATGCCCCCTGAAATCCGATCTAAGCGTGGGGCCATTTGATAGGGCTTTTTAGAATTCAACTGGAAAGAGCACCGTAAACGGAGCACAAAAAGAGGTTTCCAAGATGCCGTAGAGATCTAAATTATAGTATTGGATTGCTCCATAAATATTAGATATCGTAAATCTCAGCGGTAAGTTCAAATTTGATCTAAAGGTTACAATTTGTTTCATATCATCCATCAAAGCTGTAATCTCAGGAAATTCTTTCTTAATGAATTCATCATACATTCCTGATATCGTTATTGTTCCTGGCACTTCTTTTTGAATCTCTTGTTCACTAAAGCCTAACTTAAGCATACATTCTTTTTTATGAAGCCGATTCTTTGAAAATATTCCTTTATTGAGCTCGATAGAAAACGAGACCCCAGCGTTCAAGCTCCAGGATGCCCGGGTGCCCCTTTCATCGATGGGTGGAGTGCTTCTTCGAATTAGGCCCTGGTAGCGCTTTTCGCCCAAGCACAGCAGTATGACGCGGCGCAACTTCGCTGTTGAACCTGAGCAGCAGCAGCAGCAGAGCCAACCTGTCAGCGCCTCGCCACAGCAGTTACCCCGTCTACTACCCGCGTCCGCGCCACCCTAGGCGATGGCGGTCAGCGCATACCCCGATACTCCCCTCGTGGAGGACTTCAGAGGAGGGGACACCCTGGCAATTTTGCGCCAGATGAAGGAGGTGCATAACAGCCATCCTCGGCGCGTAGAATTTGTGTTCGATGCCGCCGTGGCGGTAGGAGCGGGCTCATGCCTGCACGACGATCCGCCAAAGGCTCTACCAAGAGGGTTGACACGCGATCAGGGCGTCGAAGCTACGAAGGAGCACCCTGGGCTCTGTGGAGTCTATCTGGCTGGGGATAGTTACGACGATGTGGTCGCTACTACGGAGAGGCGTGACGTGAGCGTCACCTTCAACGTTTTTCGCAACCAGTTGGATTTGGTATTTGCCTGGTAAGGGCCACCTCGCTTGTGTCCCGCGCCGCCGGGAGGGGGGGACGGGAGGGGGAGAGAGGTGTCTACTTTTGTACGTGATGCATGACGTATTAGGAGGGCAATAATTCCAGGGAGAGAAGCAACGTACTTGGTGCAGCAGTACTTGTTCTGACCTTGACGTGAGCGATTCCTCTATGCGTGACATATCAAGATGGGGTGGAGCGTGGGAAAGGAACGTGATTGGAGTGTACAGGGAAGGGCCGAGTGTAAGCCGTTATCAACGAGAGAGAGCAGCATACGTTTTGCGTAATGGTCGTTTTGGTGACCGTTGAGAGAATAGAAGGGCAACGAAACCTAGTTGTCTAAAAAACACGGCTCGTTGTTCGGGCAATAGTCTAAAAAAAATGTTCTTCACCTCGTTTCTTGTGAGCAACAAGCACCTGCAGACCCTGTGCGTGCTGTGCGTAGCTGCTTGTTGGTTTGGGTGCAGCTGCGCGCAGATTGGTGCGAAGGCACTCGTTGCCGATCGGGATGCCCTTTTCGAGGCAGTAATAATCAGATGGCGGACTCGAAGCCCGTGAGACCAAATACTCCAAAACCTCCACACAACAGTACTCTATAGCGGGTGCGGGGCGGAGGAGGAAGCCGCACTTGGATCACAGCTGATGTGCGAGAGAGAAGCCGCGGGCTCTTGTTGAAAACGAAAAAAATCCCTCTTCCTCGTGCCCACGCGGAAAAACAACACCGACCGGTAGTCGAGAGGCGTATCTCAACGGAAGCCATTTATTTTTGTGCTTGGATTACGGCTGATGTACAAGAGGGAAAGCGAGCTATTGTTCGAACAACACAAAAATAAATAATCCTCTCCCGTCGTGCCCACGCGAAAAAAGAACACCGGAAGTCGAGACGCGTGTTTCAAAGGAAGCCAAAGGCGCTTGGATCACGGCCGATGTGCAAAATCGAAATCGCAATGTTCGTGGAGCGCAAGTGCTTTCTTCGGACAACCACTATCATTTCCGGTGCCCACGAGAAAAATAAAAACCTTGGGAGGGCCTCAAGAACGCTTCGTAGCCTTCACCACTTGACTTGTTTCTTGCACCTCTTGGACTGCAGGGACGCCTCAACATGTTTTTTTCAGCGAACACAACCGCCCGCGCTCTCGTGCCCACGAAAAAACATGCAAATACATGTGGTAGTCGGGACGCAAAATTCGTAGGGAGCCTACAGTATGCTCCTTCCCTTCGTAACTTGAACGCTTTCTTTTCCCTCCCAGAGTTGGAGGCTGCCGCGAACGCCGAGGCGTGCTTGGGCGGGTCGCTGAAGCAGCGACGACACATCACAACGCCACCAAACGTTTGACACCGAGTGCACATGCAGACTGTGGTAACTCTCTGCCCCCTTGGCTTCCCCATACTCTTTCGCTTAGGGTTGGTCTCTTTGCGACTGTCACACATCCTCCCGTCGCAATAGAACCGTAGGCCTTTTCTCAGAATCTTGAGGTTACCATCCCCCAACTTTGCCCTGATTGCCGCTGAAAGGTAAACTACGCGGAGTGCAGCAAGCACGTTCTGGGCGTTGCTTTGGGGCACTGGGTAGTCGGCCGTGTTAGGCCGAGAGAGAGGTTGAGAGAGAGTTGGAGACAGAGGGAAGAACAAGAAGAAGAAGTACGCAGCACGCACGCAAGCCTCATCATCGCACCGACCACGCCCAAAGGGTTCCCGTGACTGCGCCGGTGGTACCCTTCAACACACGAAATTCCCAACACGTATCCCCCTGGGATCCTCACGACCAGATACTGCTGCGAGTATATCTAACATCCCCCCTGCTCGCAACAGTGTCTCACTGAAAACTTCGCTAACACCCGATATCTCAACCAAAAGACGTCTTTCCCAGAATATATACCATGAAGAGTTGACCAGAATATTATAAGAGAGAAAAACAATTCAAAGAAATATGAATGCTGCATCGCCCTCAACAAATACTTGGCGCGGGAAATGAAACAAAACGGGAAACAGAACAAGACCAAAACACAACTCATCAGAAAAACAATAAAATGTTCATCCCAAATTCATCACAAAATCACGGTGAGACTCGAAAGCATCCTCTGACAAACTCTTCGGAAGAAAGTCTGCACGCTGGTACGGCGACGGCACGTGGATGGCCGAAATTGCCTTCCTCTCTACCAGTTCCCTGAGAAAATGGTGCCTTACATCTATGTGCTTCGAGTTCGAGTTTGAGATGGGGTTCTGCGCTAGTTGAATCGCCCCCTGGTTGTCCTCGAAGATGGGGATGCACGGCATGCCGACCTGCGGCAACATGAAACGCCAAATCTGCCTCAAAAACAAAATCTCCTTCACTGCGTCACCTAGCGAGACGTACTCTGCTTCGGTGGTCGAAAGCGTGACACACTTCTGCGTTCTGGAAAACCAAGACACAGCGCCTCCTCCACACGTCACGATCCCCCCGGATACCGACCTACGGTCTGCTGCCTTGCTTGCAAAGTCCGCATCAGTGTATCCCTGCAAGCTGAATCCCTCCACCGTACCTCTCTGAAACGAAATACCAAAGTGACTCGTCCTCCTCGCATAGCCTAAAATCTCCATCGCTGCATTCTGAGTACCAGCTTCGGAGATGCGTCATACCTAGCTACTGCCCTTACTGCATTCGCAATGTCTGGCCTAGTCTGAGTTGCCAGCCACATCAACGATCCTACCAGCTCACGAAACGGAAAGTCTGTCGCCACCTCATCCGCATCAAAATCAGAAAGCTTCACCCCCGAAGACATCGGAACGCCCTTACCTCCCACCACTCCATATTCTGCTGCTAGCTCTTCCCCGCTAAGGGCGGAGAGGTCGATGCCCTCCATGGTTTATGTTGTTGTGGGAGTCTACCGATTGCGCGTGACTGCGCAACCCCCGGAAGGCTACGCCCGCGCGCGGATACCGTAGTATCGTCACACTAGTGTGAAAGGTAAACTACGCGGGGTGCAGCAAGCACGTTCTGGACGTTGCTTTGGGGCACTGGGTAGTCGGCCGTGTTAGGCCGAGAGAGAGAGGTTGAGAGAGAGTTGGAGAGAGAGTGGGAGAAGGAAACTTGATTGGAGAGAGACGGTGGTGGTGGTGGAGAGAGAGAGGGAAGAACAACAAGAAGAAGAAGTACGCAGCACGCACGCAAGCTTCATCATCGCACCGACCACGCCCAAAGGGTCCCCGTGACTGCGCCGGTGGTACCCTTCAACACACGAAATTCCCAACACGTATCCCCCTGGGATCCTCACGACCAGATACTGCTGTGAGTATGTCTAACAGCCGCCACTACAGGGGTGTTTTTTTGCGCCCGGCGCCCCCTTTCTGCGTCGCCCAAGTTGCACAAGGACATGAGGTAGAAGCTAAGCTCCCTCATCCTTTGTGCTCTAGACTGCTGTTCTAACGTGCTCAACCGCTCTTCCTCCTCTCGCAGCCCCTTGAAAAACAGCCCATCTGCAGTTTCTTCGCCCTCCATCACCCCCTTTTGTTCCAACTGCTTCATCGCCTCCGCCACCCCACTCTGCATGTGTCTCAACCACCACCGAAACATCAACCACGCGTTCGTACAGGCCTGCATCAACTTCTGTTCAAATAGACGTCGCCAAAAATATTTTTAGCACGGTGTTTTGACAGGTACGCTCCGTTGTGCTGGTCCGAGATATCTCCTCCCCCCATGTACTTGTTGTAGTGGAATCTACACCAAGGCTGGAAGCCGTCTGCCTTCGACTTTTGTCCCGCCACGTGCTTGCTGTCGATGTGGACGGAAATGGCGAGGGCGCACGGGGCCGGATGTAGAAGGTTATGTGTCAGCATGGTCAGGATATGAGCCACGGTATCTAGACACATAATCACGAGCGTATAATCAACCTCTGGACACACATGGTGGCAAGTATTTCAAAACCAGACGCATGTCGTGCACACCGTGCCCACCTGTACTCCTTTGTTAGAAAGTGCTTCGGGCTGAGGTGGACTGTGGACAGAAATTTGACGGCCTTGGAATCCTTCCACTGCACGAACACCAAGGATCCGAACCTCGCGAACACCATTTCGCCCTTCTTCCGGACATACTGTCTCGTGGCAGTCCAGTACTGCATGGCCTCCTTCGCTCCACGGTGTGTGTCCCTCAGAGTCCCGATGGCAAAAATCTCGTGCCACAACAGGCACATGAAAGGGATGGGCGAGGTGAGATAGTTGTCACACGCCATGTAGGTCCCCGACCTAAACAACTGCGCTCCCAGTGCCGGACAAGCGTAAAATAAGACAAAAATCACCATCCGGCACACCCGCCCCAAGGGACAGTTAGACCACTGGTGAATCTTCGGATCACCGGCGTACCCGCCGTCCTTGTATCCCGTGAAACAGTACCCGCTCCAGCAACATACTCCCCAAATCTTCACCCCTGGAAAAAAAAGACATACGTCGGCGGGGCTGGTGAACGAACGATCCGCTCCCCTCGTGTCATTCCTGAGCCGACTGGTTCGAAGCTAAGCACTAAAGAGTGACATGCCTGGCGAGGTAGTCTCATACCATTTCATCGCTATCACGGGTCAAATATCGTATGTTTCCATGAACGAACGGAAGACAACAACGAAAACATGGAGCGTTTTGGTGGAGGGGGTAGTGGTGGAGTCTTGAGCGTTGCATAGCTTACACAGATCCTACGAAGGCACACTATTTGTTTGCGTACGTCGCTTGCTCGCCGCGAGTTTGGCATGCTCACCGTTTTTGATGTGCTTTTTTGGCATGTGCCTCATCATGAATTCTGCGGAACGGCTAACGCACTTGACCATCTCCTCGTCGAATGAGATCCATCGACCCACCAGAGCGGCTCCAGTCCACGCCGTGTTCAACATGGACTACAACTCGCTACACGTATACAACGAGAGACGATTGCACGACAGGGGGCGGCAAGCGACCATAGGTGTTACCAGGGTGCGCAGTTGATTTTGTGAATTCGACGTATCAACTGCGTACGGTATGGGGTGCAATGTCAATTCCGAACGGTACCCCGTATCCGGAAGAAAAGCTCAAGGCAGGGGATGATTTTCTTCGGAAACTGTTATTCCGGGAAGAAAGTCTGCAGGAAAAGCGAAACAGTATCAACGGCAGCTTGTACAACATACACTTCTCCCCCTCACTTGCTACCTGTGTTACACCGTGTCGGGCTTTCGTGATCGTGACAAATAACCTTTCGGGTCCGTCTTGAAGACGGGGGGTTCGTGATTATTTAAGACAGAAAGACAAGCCCCTGTCTTCGACATCTGTGTTGTTGTCGTTGGGAACAAATCTAAGCAGAAACCTTAAGGAACAAATCTAAGCTGGATTTACCTTTCCATGCTTTCTTGTCGCGGCGACGCTGCTCCTGTCCATAAGGGTTCTTGGTGCTTCGACAGAAGTTGAAGTACTCGTTTGTCTGCCGCAACGGCGGGAGATTTTCAGGCAACGAACGAAAAAAAAGTCGACGGCGTCGGGTGTGGCGTGGGTGGTGTTGCACCACCGTGGAGCAAAATGGTATTGAAGGGTGGTACCATGCGCCACAACTCCAACCCTTTCGATCATGGTATGAACACGTGACGGACAGCCCCCTCCCCACCAAGCTAGGAATGCAATCCAACGCATGACCAACGATGTGATGGGTTAGGTGCTTGCACTGACCTTCCGTACAAGTAGAAGGATCACCGCGGCCGGAAACATGATGCTGAAGAAGGTGAACGCAAGTTCNGATTTTCAGGCAACGAACGAAAAAAAAGTCGACGGCGTCGGGTGTGGCGTGGGTGGTGTTGCACCACCGTGGAGCAAAATGGTATTGAAGGGTGGTACCATGCGCCACAACTCCAACCCTTTCGATCATGGTATGAACACGTGACGGACAGCCCCCTCCCCACCAAGCTAGGAATGCAATCCAACGCATGACCAACGACGTGATGGGTTAGGTGCTTGCACTGACCTTCCGTACAAGTAGAAGGATCACCGCGGCCGGAAACATGATGCTGAAGAAGGTGAACGCAAGTTCGCCTAGCTCGTCCACCGAAAATCTGCCCAACTTATCTGGGTCGAACGCAGGCAACGCGTCTAATGTCTTTTTCGACGGTTTGAAGCTTACATCTTCTCCCTCTCCCTCACTTTTACGGTGGCAGTCGTAGTACTGGTGCCCGTCTCCTCGGTAGGAGCCTTCGCCGTCAAAATCAAATCCATCACCACCGTCGCCGTTCCCATCGTTTCCGCTCCCAACATTACCGCCGTTGCCGTTCCCATCGCGGCCGCTCCCTTCACCATCGCCCTCAAACGAGCCCGCGGCACCGCCCCCCGCTCCGGCACGACTCCTGTCGTCATCTGCCGTGCCCTCTCTCTCACCCCCATTCCCCGCGGCGCCGCTCCCGGTGCTGTCGCAGTTCCCGCCGCGTGCTCCACTACGGGCGTCATGACCGCCGCTGAGGCCGCCATCGTATCTCGCCGACCAATTTACATCTGTCTGCATGCCGCGGGTTGTCCAAGAGTGCTCGTCGGCGGTATCCAGGGCCTCGTCTCCCTTCTGCTCCTCGCCTGTGTCGCCCCCTTCCGGAGCGTCCTCCTCGACCTCCGACCTGGCCTTCTTCCTTTTCTGTTGTTGGCGACGATACGGAAAAATACGGTGGTAACAGGGGAGGGAACAGGGGTATCAGGTCTGCAGGCTTGAAGCGCACAAGGGTAAAGGGGCACAGGGGCGACACAGACAGACAAAGAAGAAGAGAGTCAGGGAGGGGGGGGCATGGAGAGACAGACAGAGGGAGAAGGCTCTTCGCACATCACAACACTACCATTTTTTTTGGCGGGGGTCTTCACTTCAAATCAGCGCTCACGGCACTGGTGCCGTTTACTCCAACCGATGGTCACACAGAAGAGCCCCTCTCTACCTGCCCCTCCTGCGGTACTTTACCTTCATTTTTAATGCGAGAAGAGTTAAGCACCCTCTTCCCTCTGTGTACACACGAACTAGCGCTATCCACTAGGCCAGGAACTAGAAGGTTTCGAGGTTACCAACTAGACCACCGGGGCGACCGGCTCACCATACACTCTGCTGATGCCGCAAAATGCGACAAACAAGTACCGGATCTTTTCCAGCAGTGGGAGAAGTAACAAGCAAAGAGAGAGGTCCCTTCCTTCTAGCCTCAGGCATACACAACGTGGTGCACTATCGATTATTAATTGCGGGAGTACCCCTCCCACCCTCCCGTCGCTCAGTGACATGTATAGTTGTTGTCGACACGCCCACGACTATGAAATATAAATATTTAATCACGCGAAGTCGTACTACTGTGCCTCTCGTGCTGCCGTAATACACAAACGACAACACTTGACAGCTCAAGAGCGGCTAGCGTTCACCGAAAAAAAATGCGCCCATCCTTATGTTACGGTCTTGCACGAATTGGTTGGTGTTTTGCACCAACCCAAAGATGAAATTCAGGGCCTCCTTTCCCCAGGCCTCCTCTATCTTGTCCACCATCGCCTTGACCTGCTGAGGGCTCTTGCCACTCACGAACACATCCTGGTCGTAGTCTGCTGCGTCCCCCGGAATCCACCCCTCACTACCGCCGTCCCTCATGTCGTCGTCCCCCTCAGGCTCCTGTTCGTACTCCGCTTCGTCATCACCCCCTTTTCCACCGCTACCGCACGTACGGCTCCGACTACCCTGCCGGCTGTGCTTATTACAGAACATACCGCAGGGAGATTTCGCTTCGGCCCCACAGGGCTTCCCTTGCTTAGGGCCGCTTGCGAATGTTGCAGTGCAAGTGCTGCGGAGCCCCCGCATTTGCACGCTTCTTTTTTGAGGGAGCTACGCCGGCACCACCTCACTCTAGCGTCTCCGACCCCGCAGCATCTTCCGCTTTGCTGCTGTAGAGCTCGAGTGGTTTCTCCTTCGGCATGGGCTTCTCCTCCGACCTGGTCGTTGCCGACATGCCGCTGGCGGAAGGAAGTACCGCGGGCTTCGTCACCACTTTCCCAAGCGGCGTCGCCTTCCGCTCCGGTACATCCCTGGTTGACGCGGTTTTGACGGGCCGGGCACCTTCAGCAGAACGTCGCGATCGCACGCTGCTGCTTGTCTTGGTCTCGTCATCCACCTCGATCGGCACGGGAGAGCCCTGATGTTTCATCGGACGTTTGTCCGATGTGGTTGGGCACGGGCAAAGATTTTCTGGAGGCTTCTCGTGCCCAAACACAGATCGATCAGAGGATCCCCGTTGTAGCATGTACGGCTTTGCCCGTGGGACGGATTCTTGTGGGATCACGATGGCGCTAAAGCGGTTGAATTTTGTTTCCGCCACGTTGCTGCTGCTTGGGTTGCGCACTGTAGCCGTACCCGCAGCATACGTAGCCGCGTTGTAGCCCCCGAAGTCATTGCCCACCAGGTGCAGAAACTCATCACGATAAAGATCGCCAACGAAACAGCCGGTGGTGTCGCCCATTTCCACGATTCGAAGCCCACCTCCAGTTTTTGCTTCCCGACCACGATATTGCAACGTTTCACCGCAGCTACTAACGCCAGCTGACCTACCGCGAAGTAATCGTTCTCCAGTTGATCCTCGATGCCCGCCACCACCTCTCGCACAGTCTTCAGTGGTTTGTGTCTTACAGCTCTTGCAGCTCGACCGGCGGAGGGGGTGCGCTTTCGGTAGAAACCCCTCTCGTAGTCGAGCTTGCCAAGTCTCAGCATTTCCTCGTCAGACGCCGTGTTGAGCACCAACAGCAGCNACGCCGTCTACCGGCAGGAGGAGTCGCCTCCGCCGGCAGGCGCTCCGATTGGTGCTGTTCATCGATGCGAGAGGTGTGAGTGCCATGGACATACCTTGAGCTTGTGCAATGCGCCGCGCAGGTTTGAGGGCAACTGCGCCGCATGTGGTGAGTACGGTCATGTGCGTGGTGTGTGTGCTACGGTTGTC